CGCGGATCGGTGGGTCACAGAATTCGTAAACTAAGCCGATTTTGGAGCCTCGACCCACGGTCTATAGCCATTCATTGGGATTGATTGTACCAGTCGTATTTTGTTTGATACCTGCTATTTCGTAAAATATTTCTTTTAAAATGAGTTCAAAGTTTCAGATAAGCTTTAGCAAGTTGGAAATTGGTTCTGATATTTCGATTGGAAAAACATCCAAAGTGCAAAGAGCAATATTGAACACAGAAGATGGTTCTACCAAAGAAGTTGCAATAAAAACATTCATCGACTTCAGAAAGGAATTGTTCGAAATTCTCGCTGAAATTGACCACAGAAATATAATTAAATTAATTGGTGCAGTGACGGAAAATGATAAGAAGATACTTGTTATGGAGTATGCTAATTTGGGAAACCTCTACGACTATCTGAGGAAGCAAAATCAGCGTCTAAATGTCCACCATTCGATGGAATGGGCAAAACAATGTTCAAGCGGTGTCGCTTATATCCACAGCCAAGGAATCATCCATCGTGATATCAAGTCACCTAATTTTCTATTGAATGCTGACTCCTCAGAGAAGTTCGTTGGTGTTCTTAAGCTGTGTGATTTTGGAATCGCGCATCGAGTAAAGGATTCGAAAACTTCAACCAGGACCATCCTAGGTGGGTTAAGTCTGAAGTGGGCAGCGCCCGAAGTAATTCGTGACGACGACTCCTGTTCAATTTATTCTGATGTCTACAGTTTAGCTGTTGTGATCTGGGAACTGTTTACTGGAAAGATACCTTATGATAAGCACGACAAATTTGACACTCAAGCTGCAATATGCAGAGGCACTACTCTAAACACCAAGAGTATCAATTGCCAAGATGTCCCTCAGCTATTAGATCGTTGCTGGAGTAAAGAAAAGAGCGACCGTCCAGAAGCCAGAGAAGTTGTTGAACAGCTAAGTAAAATAAGCGATGACGGTAAGATATCAATATAATAAGCCTAAATAAGAATCAAACCACT